ACTTTAAATATTTAACCTTGTTGAAATTGTTATCAATATCATAAACGCTTTTCATTTATACTGTCTAATAACGGTTAGCCATCTTTTACAAGAACTACTTAAGTCATGACCTTCCAAAGTTGGACTATGATTGTGTCTATGATACACTTTAAGCCTATTTCCAAAAGTGAGCAAAGTGGATTTACATTTGGTTTTATAGTAACTATTGCAACGCCATCTAGTTTTATCTTGATATTTAACATAAGTGGAATAATCATTCTGGTCTAATACGATTTTTGGTTGGTTCTTTGGTCCTTTAATTATATAAATTAATTCTAAAATAAAACATAAATTAAACATAAATAAAACATAAAAAGAGAACCAGTTAAGTTAACTTAACAACTTGTTGGTTATACTTTTCGCACAATTACCCTAAATAATGGGGCAAATATCCAGTTGTTAATATTTTGTAAATTTATACCTGTTCAAAAAGAAAATAATGAAGGTTCTGCGTTTGTTAGAACTAGAGATATTGCAACACTTCCAGCGCGACCACCAAAAATTAAAATCCACATGCAGGTGTAGTTTAGGACGAATACTCAAACTGAATTAAATTCTTCACATTACAATACTTTTATTAATTTTATTACTGTTCCTAGAATTATTGTTTAACAATATTAACAAATTGTTTAACTGCCTTGTCCAATGAAGGAAACGTTGGTTTATGATTATGAACATTTCTTATTACGAGGTTTCTTCCAAACGTAATAACTCTTGAACTGCACATTAATTTGTTATATTGTGAACATCTCCAGAAGGTTCTATCAGATAGTTTTTTGTTAAGAACATATGCATCATCGTACACTATTAATTTGGGATGTCTAGTTCCACGTATAACATAGATTGCTAAAAAATTGTATTATTAAAATTGCGTATATTATTTTATCATAAATCCACTTCAAATGATATAAATATTAAATTCAAAAAGTCACCAATTATGAAATACCATTTTGTTTTGAAGATATAAAAAAGAACTTTATATAGAAATGAAAATAGTTTAATATTATTACAAATCAGCCATACTTTTATATGTAGTAATTAACAGTCTTCTGTCAAATAACTTAATTGAAAAAATAAAATCGAACACAAAAAACTAAATCATAAATTAGTAACACAAAGCATGCAAGAAATTACGCATGCCATAAAAACGCTTAAAAACAATAAATTCCCTGGTCTGGACAATATTGATTCCGAGCTAATTAAAACAGGCGTGAACTCATAAGTAAAATCCATCAATTAATAGAAATGGCCTGGCAACAAGAAATAATGCCGAAAGAATGGTATGGTAGTATTATTGTACCAATACACAAGAAAGGAAAAAAGGAGTCATGCATGAATTACAGAGGAATCTCACTAATCAACACTACATACTAAATATTGGCTTCGATATTATTAAAAAGATTAGTACCATACGCCGAAGAAATAGTTGGTGACTACCAGTGTGGTTTCATGTCTGGCAGATCGACTATTGATCAAATATTTACAATAAGACAAATGCTTGAAAAGTATTGGGAATATAATCACGACGTGCATTAGATTTTTATAGACTTCAAACAGGCTCATGATTCAATTAATCGTGCAACATTATGGAAGGCAATGATCGAGTTCGGCATATCCAAGAAACTAGCTGCGGTAACACAAAAGTAGCTTAATTCACTTACAGAACTCACAGATCTATGTACCTATCAAACTCTGGACCACCACAATCATAATGAGCCCACAGCCCATACATTATGCAGTTAATCCAGTTTTCTCCACTGTTATCCGTGTTAAAAAGTCTTTGGCAAATATAAAATCAGCAGTCAAATGAAATCGTAGGCTTCCACGGCCAGAGTCAGAATTATAGTTTATTCGTCTTCCGGGTTTGGACCGTGTCATTTGTGAGTGACCCAAAAGTGGGTTCATCTCGACGTTTCGCTACAATTGTATGTAGCTTCTTCAGGAGAACAAAGAAAAAGAAAAAGAAGATGGGTAGTTAGCAACGGTAACTCAGTTACTCAACGCAACCAGAGGCGAATACTAACTACCAAGATGGGGAGTGAATCCTCCCCGCCTCTCGACGCGTTAGTGTTCTGAGCTGTTGGACGTGAATCCCTGTCGTGGCATTTGGTTTTCACCTCTGGCTGCGTTGAGTAGTTGAGTTACTGTGACCAAATGCCATCTTTATAGTTAGTATTCGCCTCTGGTTGCGTTGAGTAACTGAGTTACCGTTGCTAACTACCCATCTTCTTTTTCTTTTTCTTTGTTCTTCTGAAGAAGCTACATACAATTGTAGCGAAACGTCGAGATGAACCCACTTTTGGGTCACTCACAAATGACACGGTCCAAACCCGGAAGACGAATAAACTATAAAATCAGCAGTGTCAGAAGATTCTTAGCCCAACAACTAATCAGGCTTACTATCTTCATCAAACTGGATAACGTCGAGTTGCTTAAAGTCTTCTGTAGAATCAGTCTTATTTTTCTTTGTTCTTTTGTTTCTCTTTGCAGTTTTCGCTTTATTTTTTGTCTTAGTTAATTTATTGTAGAGTGTTTATCTGATTCATTCCTGAAGTCGAAGGTTCAGGTTGTATATTAGCACTTGTTTCTGGTACAGATGTTGGTATCAGAGCTTAAGTATTTTTAGATCTTGATTCCAGTGCACTGATGTTGGTTGTACAACCATCTCTTACAGCATTATATTGCTCAGAAATAAAGTCTATATCACTGAACACATCTTAACTTAAAGGTCATAATGCAGTGACCTTAAAACGGCTGCAATCTGGCCTGTTTGTATTTTCAAATATGATTTTTCAAAGAGCTCCGCGGTATCATATGGAGTTAGAGGTCCGCTAATATTTCTAATCGACATGCGTATTTCTTCACTGTAATAAGTGTTGTATAACGGCCCCAGTTTGCGAGTTGTATGTGGAGGTAAGGAAACAATAAAATCTTCGATTTAGGAGTTTTTTCTTCTTAACGTGCCCTATCAAGTCCCCTTGACGTTGGCGATTAACATGGCGAAACTGTCTCTGTCGAGCTATTCTAAAGGAGTTCTTTAAGAAACTTTAAGTACCTAATAAAAAAAATTTTAAGTGCATATAATGAATAGCACACTTTGACTAGATCACCAAAACTTGTGCATGTTCAATATATGTATTTTAAAGCTCTGGAAAGCCAGATCGATGATGAAGGAAAGTTCCAAATCTGCACCTCCACGTGATAGAAGATGGTCAACACCCAATTGGATAGTTAACGCAGATAGAAACCGAGTGCAACAACAGGTATTTCAATATTTCGACTTGGAATGTACAAAGTATGTACGAGGGTGGAAAAACCATAATCGGAGAAATGGCAAAGCTGAAAATACAGATAATGAGAATCATCGAGACATAGTGCCCAAACACAGTTCAGATTAATATACAGACCACACAAAGAAATGGGTAGGCATAGTAGTCACCAAAAAATACAAAGGTTTTTTGATTTTTTCATACCACGCCCAGATCAAATGCTGCTTCAGCAGTTGCAACGCCTCTCAACTGCACTGCAAAAAATAATAAACTAATCGATGAATTATTTGAGCAGCTTAAATAATTAATAAAGCTAGCTAAAAACAATGAAATCACGATCATTGAAAGACATTGTAGGAGAATATGGTCTTGGGATAAGGAATGAGTGAGGAGAACGCATGGTGTGGATTGTAGAGAAGATGAATTAGTTGTCTACCTTCTTTTAGCTACCACCTAGACAACTGTACACCTGGAAATCACCAGCAAAACACAGAATCTGCATCAGATAGATTGTATAACTATCCAGAAACGTTTTCAAATCAGTAAAAGCCTATCCCGCAGCCGACATAACTGCTGATCATAAGTCTTTAATGTGCAAATTGGAAATCAAACTCAAAGAGTATAATACAGGCGTTACTGATCAAAGAACGGATGCTGTACAACTTGGAAATGAAGAAACAAAAGATCGGCTTACACACATATTTAAAAAAATAATGAACACAATAATAGCAAGTGGAGATCTTTTATAAAAATTATATAAGGCCAAACAGGCAATCGAAAATATGTGTAAAGCATAACTGAAGGTCAGCTATAGAAAAAATAAGGCAAGTTGAACGAAGATACTCTGCAACAAATTGACAGAAAAATACGGAACAACTAACTGCCAAACTAATGAAAAAAATTAAAAGAATGATAATGGAGGCATAGGGAAGATGTCTGCGAGGTGCAGAGAAATGGAAAAGCCAAATTAATTACAAATTTTAATAGAGCAGAATTTTTTTGTTTCACTTTATTTTATTATATTCTTAGTATGTATAATAATCACGTGCTCAATATGCCCTGATGGTAAAGATGGAACTGAGAGGTCAAAACTAATTTTTATTATGTTTATTTTTTTATTTAGATTCCTTAACAATATTGACAAATTGTTTCACTGCCTTGTCCAATGGAGGAAATCTTGGTTTATGATTATGAACATTTTTTATTAAGAGGTTTCTTCCAAAAGTAACAACCCTTGAACGACACAATACTTTGGCATATTGTGAACATCTCCATGTGGTTCTACCAGCTACTTTTCTGTTAATAATGTATTCATCATCATATACAATTAGTTTGGGATTCCTTGTTCCACGTGAAACATATATCGCTAAAAAATGGTAATATTAAAATTGTAAATGTTTTATGCAAGATCTGTTTCAAATAATATAAATGTTAGAATTTTATTTTGCCTTTACCATACCATTTCATTTTTGACTATAGTCTTTTTGCATATACAGTCCAACATTATTATAGTTTAATCTTTCCTGTTGCTACACTTACTCTTCCTTCTTATATCGTAGTTGGGATTGATGGTTGACAAATATGTATTACAAAATATCATTTGAATCAATTAAACAATTATTGTTCATAAGTTTTATTTATAATAACGATAATTTTCTTCGTAATCCAGAAACAAACTTTGTTAACAAAAATTTAAAATGGTTCTTCCACACTTTGGCTTCGAATAATGGTAACCGTTTGCGGTACAAGTTCTGCTACAGAGGGATTAGTAGGGGGATGATTGTGAGAATGATTGACTTTAACAATTTTTCCATAAGTCACTAAAGAAGCTTTGCATTTGCTCTTCGGGTATTGACTGCATCTCCAATTGGTCCTAGAGTTGTTCATTGAGTTTATAGTAAATCGATTTTGTTCTATAATAATTTTAGGATATTTTCGTCCAGTTTCGATGTGAATTATATCTGCAAAAGGTGACATTTTAAAATTAAGGTAGTAGCGATTTCAGATATCAGGAAATAATTCGAATTATAATAAAATTCTATATATTCGAGAAGAAACAACTTTTCCATGGTTGCAAAACGTTGCGACTTACAGAAGTATTATTGTAGGGCCATCTCTAGCAATTTTAACTCCGCCGTGGCCTGGTCCCAAGTCCAGGATGAGAAAGAGGAGGGTTAAGCAAGGGAATAACCATTCCTTATTGTAAAAAAACACAGTTATGAAAACGAAGCACATGCCTCAGATAAGGACGGATCTTCTAAAACGACAAAAACGACGACAAAGGACAATGAATATAGGAATCTGGAACGTACTAAGCCTATATCGGCATGGAGACCTCACTCAGGTGGTCAAAGAACTTGAATTCAGAAACATGAACATAACTGCTTTACAAGAAATTAGATGGACTGGAGAAGGTACACTAAAAACTAATAAATCAGTAGTATTTTTCAGCGGAAGCGAATGGGAACATCAATTCGGCACTGGTTTTATAGTCAGGGAAAGTCTTGTGGGGCCAGTCTTATCTTTCAAACCCGTTAATGACAGACTCTGTTATATCAAACTCAAAGGACAACTACATAACTATTCCCTAGTTGCTGCATATGCACCGACAGAGGAAAAGGAAGAGCATGTAAAAGATAACTTCTACGAGAAACTAGAGGAACTAATCAATAATCTACCCAAATAGGACATGCATATTATCTAAGGAGATTTCAATGCAAAGAATTATAGTCTTTACGATGTCAGCAACGATAATGAAACAAGGTTAATAGACTTTGCAGCATCCCACAACCTACTAATGAAATCGACAATGTTCGAACACAAGAAAATACACAAACAAACATGGTTCTCCAACGACGGCGTCACAATCCGTGTCACGAGACACGGATCATTTTCTAGTAAAAACGAAGATAAGGACAAGAATAGCGTCCAAAAAACGCACAAGAATACACCAACACAATTATGGAATACCGAAGTTCTACGTAATACGGAGACAGAACAGAAATTTCAAGGTTATAAAAATCGCTCTAACACAGACAGAAGACTATAACAACATAGACTCAGTTTGGAGAAATATCAATTAGCTCTGACAAGCGTATCAGATAAAATACTAGGACACAAAAAGAAAATAACAAAAAAATGGTTCGATGATGATTGCCTGAACTCCATAACAGCAAGAAATATGGCTAGAAGGAACATGCTACAAAACTCGTTGCATAACAACAATAAAATGTATAGACAAAGAAGAACAGAAACAAGAAAGCTAACGAAAAGGAAGAAGAGGGAGTATCGGGAACAAATATCAGAGATATAAAAGAAAAAAGGAAGAACAAACAAGCGAAACAGTTCTTCAAAGGAGTCTCAGATATCAAGACCGGGTACCAAGCAAGAACAGAAAACTTCCTTCAAAACGACAGCGGGCAGCTTATCACTAATGACAAGGAAATCTTAAAAACCCGGAAGGAATACTTCTATCAACTATTGAACGACCAATCTAGCAGAAATACATCAAACATAGAGGTACATCAGCTGAAATAGAAGACCAATATCCGACATACGAAGAAGTAATACAGGCAATTAAAAAACATAAAAATAATAAGACACCAGGTAGCGATGGTATACCCGCAGAGTGCTTAAAACATTGAGGAGAAGCGTTGTCTAATTCTATATACAAGCTAATTTAAGACATTTGGCAAGAAGAAACAATGCCAGGTAAATGGAAAGAATGGGTTATAAAGGGGGAACTAACAAAGAACTCGAAGAACTCTACTCAGACGCCAACATCATAAAAGAAATAAAGTCCAGAAGTCTCCAATGGGCAGGACACCTCAGAAGACATTCTGATGAACGAACAGTAAGACTGGTGTAGGAGAAAGTCCCAACTGGAAGGAGACCACCTGGACGCCATCGTCTCGGTGGCGAGATAATATAGCAGGAGACCTAAGCACTATGGGCGTGGAGAATTGGATGGAGGTTGCTCAAGACAGAAAACAGTGAAGGCATGTTGTCAAGTCGGCTAAAACCTACGAAGGGTTGTAACGCCACGGAGTAAGTAAGTAAGTATCTCTGGTAATTTTTAGCCACACCCAACCAAACAATATTGTGCACTTTTATTATTTTAAAGATTATTTAGACATAAGAGGGCAAGAGAACATACAAAATTAATAAAGGTGGTGAAACTCGCACTAGTAAATTCGCTTCTTATTTAGACGATGCACCCTTATTGTTGTTTGTTCTTTGCATAAACACCATGTCTTAAAATTTGAATTTAAAATAATGCTTTCTTCGTCAGATGAAGGTTTTCTGGTTGAAGAACCTGAGAGAGTGGTTTGTTTGCAGCTCAGGGCAATTGTTCAGAGCAGCTGCCTTGAAGGTCAGAATAGCCATGGTTATTGCCAACCTTCGTCGCGGAGATGACATTTAAAGAAGAAGAAGATAAAACAGTTGTGGTGTGCCGTTGTGGTCGACACCATATATTAAAGCACATAATCGTACAATCTTATTCTAATCGGCAAAACTTTGTAATCTAAACAAATCCTTATTGAAGTTGGTCGTAAAGTTTTTAAAAAGTGAAACTGGAACAAACCATGAAGTGGAGATATCCAGAAGTGGCTAGTATACCTGTTGAATACAAAGCACGTGGTGTTCGTGTGTATTAAGGTATAAAAATTTTAAGCTTTTAATAAGCGCTTTTTTTATACCTTAATACACACGAACACCACGTGCTTAGTCGTAAAGCTTTTGGTATCTAGAAAGTTAAATATTATTGATTATCAGTTTGTTCAATACATGTCGTCAAATGTGACCGTCCGAATAAAAATACGATTTAATAATAAAGCCCTACTATTTCGTGGAACATTTATTAAACTTTAAAAAATTTTATTTTATACAAATGCTCTAATAATATTGACAATATGTTTTGACAACTTCTCGGTAGACGGATTTGTTGGAGGATGATTATGCGTTTTATTAATTTTTACAGTTTTTTCGAAAGTAGTCAACGTTGCTTTGCATTTTGTTTTAAAGTACTGGTTACACCTCCATCTTGTTCTATTGCTCTGTCCTGAATTAATCGTAAAAGAATTGTTATCTAAGATAATTTTTGGTCGTTTACTTCCAGAGTCAATCCAAATAATGCCTAAAAGTAAAAGCTTATGTTAAATATAAAGTGTAAAAACATTTATATGGACAGCATTAACCTAACTTTCTAATTTCACCGTATATAATTGTAATAAGTATATATAATAAACTTTATTTTATTTATTTATGTTTATTTATAATCTACATCATTACAGACATCCAATGATGTCTCACACTCATGGACGTATAAACACAGATGGACTCAGTTATTTACATAAAATTGTGAAGTCAAAATTATTTGAATAGGTCACATTCTCAGCACCTTCAACTGTTGTCACGTTTTGTTTTAAAATTTCTTATTCGCGAGTCGCTGAAAATATTACTCCGTATTTTATACTCTACAGGTGCTATAAAACCAAAATAATAATTTATTGGTTAGATTAATATATTTATTTAATTGTAATCAAAATATAAATGTGCATTATCATTTAATAATAGCGTATAATAGATATCAATAAATTATTTTATATGTAGAAGCACTGAAAACTATTTATAAATGGCAACGGTTGTTTACATTTCGCTGTCTTATGGATCTACGTCAAACTTCAAATGCTGTTCCATGTTTGTTTACTTTTTAGTAAAAGTTGTTTTTCGATATTTTGGCTATATTTTGAGTGATATTTGTGAAAAGTGAAATAAAATAAACGAAATATTTACATCCCGATCTCTCATTTCATTTGTAAGTACATACAATTTACATTATTTAAGATGAGGAAATGAAAAACCGTGTTTGTTTACATTTTAATAGGCGTACCATTGGGTTTATTCATGTTCATTAATGTACTGAATAAGATACAAGTTCTTGAAATTAGTAGACATTTTTAAATTGTAAGTGGACATCATCTGATTAAAAAAGATCTGTTTAGTACCTTTTTAAAACGTGTTTTTATACATTATTACTACTTCCAATTTTTAAAATCTGAATAATTACCCGCGAGTAAAATTTAAAGCACGCTTATGCTCATTGCGGAAGCATTACATTCTATGGAAGCTTCAAAACATTGTGTGTTAAAGGTATCTTATTGCTGTGTCCATCTATGTTTATACGTCCATGCTCACACTATTCTATTTTGATTTATTTTTAAAAAATTTCTGGGTGCCAGGTTCCATATAGTCTTCTTATGGCTGGACCATTCTCTTACTACTCATTTTAATGGTGAATGGTACATTCATTTTGTGACTCCGTGGCTCTATTGCTTTCTTCTTTCAAGTACATCCAAAAGGTCCCCAAGTTCATCTCAGTAGTTGGATAACTGCAGATCTAGATCCAGATACAGAGATACGTAGCAGGATTGAGCAAGCCAGAACAGCATTTACTAATATGAGAACCTTCCTAAGCAACAGCAGCCTCAACTTAACGCTTCGATATCGCTTTGTAAAATGTTACATTTACTCCATACTGCTATATGGTGTAGAACTCTGGACTGTTCCATGTAGTCTTCTTGTGGCTGGACCATTGGTGAATAAATCTCTTACTAGCTCATTTTCATTTTGTGACTTCGTGGCTCGATTGCTTTCTTCTCTCATGCAAGGAATCTCTAAGTCGTAGTGAAGTGTTTATTTACGTAAAATGGTGCATCCACTATCGATCTTAGCACTTTAGACTGGAATCTTTGGATGGTATTCAGCTACGTAGGCTTTTTCCAGCCTCATGGGTGTAGTTCGTCGAACCAGATAGGTTTGAGTATGACTTTGCATAGAACAATTTTGTTTTGGAAGTTAAGTTTTGATTAACGTCCAATCGGCCAATACATTTAGGTCTAGGTGGAGGACAAGGTATCTAGCTTCTGTTACTGTTTCTATTCTTACATTTTCCATTTTTACAGGTGGGCATTTGT